CATTCTCGTGTTACGCAGCACGTTTGAGCTTCAACAAGAACCAATGAGGTTCATTCTCGTGTTACGCAGCACGTTTGAGCTTCAACAAGAACCAATGAGGTTCATTCTCGTGTTACGCAGCACGTTGAGCTTCAACAAGAACCAATGGGTTCATTCTCGTGTTACGCAGCACGTTTGAGCTTCAACAAGAACCAATGAGGTTCATTCTCGTGTTACGCAGCACGTTTGAGCTTCAGCAAGAACCAATGAGGTTCATTCTCGTGTTACGCTGCACGTTTGTGCTTCAGCAAGAACCAATGAGGTTCATTCTCGTGTTACGCAGCACGTTTGAGCTTCAGCAAGAACCAATGAGGTTCATTCTCGTGTTACGCAGCACGTTTGAGCTTCAGCAAGAACCAATGAGGTTCATTCTCGTGTTACGCAGCACGTTTGAGCTTCAGCAAGAACCAATGAGGTTCATTCTCGTGTTACGCAGCACGTTTGAGCTTCAACAAGAACCAATGGGGTTCATTCTCGTGTTACGCAGCACGTTTGAGCTTCAACAAGAACCAATGAGGTTCATTCTCGTGTTACGCAGCACGTTTGAGCTTCAGCAAGAACCAATGAGGTTCATTCTCATGTGTTACGCAGCACGTTTGAGCTTCAACAAGAACCAATGAGGTTCATTCTCGTGTTACGCAGCACGTTTGAGCTTCAACAAGAACCAATGAGGTTCATTCTCGTGTTACGCAGCACTTTGAGCAAAGAATCAGAGCACCTTCAAGGTTACGCGACGTTTGAGCTTCAGCAAGAACCAATGAGGTTCATTCTCGTGTTACGCAGCACGTTTGAGCTTCAACAAGAACCAATGGGGTTCATTCTCGTGTTACGCAGCACGTTTGAGCTTCAGCAAGAACCAATGAGGTTCATTCTCGTGTTACGCTGTATGTTTGTGCTTCAGCAAGAACCAATGAGGTTCATTCTCGTGTTACGCTGTATGTTTGTGCTTCAGCAAGAACCAATGAGGTTCATTCTCGTGTTACGCAGCACGTTTGAGCTTCAGCAAGAACCAATGAGGTTCATTCTCGTGTTACGCAGCACGTTTGAGCTTCAGCAAGAACCAATGAGGTTCATTCTCGTGTTACGCAGCACGTTTGAGCTTCAACAAGAACCAATGAGGTTCATTCTCGTGTTACGCAGCACGTTTGAGCTTCAGCAAGAACCAATGAGGTTCATTCTCATGTTACGCAGCACGTTTGAGCTTCAGCAAGAACCAATGAGGTTCATTCTCGTGTTACGCAGCACGTTTGAGCTTCAACAAGAACCAATGAGGTTCATTCTCGTGTTACGCAGCACGTTTGAGCTTCAGCAAGAACCAATGAGGTTCATTCTCGTGTTACGCAGCACGTTTGAGCTTCAACAAGAACCAATGAGGTTCATTCTCGTGTTACGCAGCACGTTTGAGCTTCAGAAGAACCAATGAGGTTCATTCTCGTGTTACGCAGCACGTTTGAGCTTCAGCAAGAACCAATGAGGTTCATTCTCGTGTTACGCAGCACGTTTGAGCTTCAGCAAGAACCAATGAGGTTCATTCTCGTGTTACGCAGCACGTTTGAGCTTCAGCAAGAACCAATGGGGTTCATTCTCGTGTTACGCAGCACGTTTGAGCTTCAGCAAGAACCAATGAGGTTCATTCTCGTGTTACGCAGCACGTTTGTGCTTCAGCAAGAACCAATGAGGTTCATTCTCGTGTTACGCAGCACGTTTGAGCTTCAACAAGAACCAATGAGGTTCATTCTCGTGTTACGCAGCACGTTTGAGCTTCAGCAAGAACCAATGAGGTTCATTCTCGTGTTACGCAGCACGTTTGAGCTTCAGCAAGAACCAATGAGGTTCATTCTCGTGTTACGCAGCACGTTTGAGCTTCAGCAAGAACCAATGAGGTTCATTCTCGTGTTACGCAGCACGTTTGAGCTTCAACAAGAACCAATGGGGTTCATTCTCGTGTTACGCAGCACGTTTGAGCTTCAGCAAGAACCAATGAGGTTCATTCTCGTGTTACGCTGTATGTTTGTGCTTCAGCAAGAACCAATGAGGTTCATTCTCGTGTTACGCTGTATGTTTGTGCTTCAGCAAGAACCAATGAGGTTCATTCTCGTGTTACGCAGCACGTTTGAGCTTCAGCAAGAACCAATGAGGTTCATTCTCGTGTTACGCAGCACGTTTGAGCTTCAGCAAGAACCAATGAGGTTCATTCTCGTGTTACGCAGCACGTTTGAGCTTCAACAAGAACCAATGGGGTTCATTCTCGTGTTACGCAGTACGTTTGAGCTTCAACAAGAACCAATGAGGTTCATTCTCGTGTTACGCAGTACGTTTGAGCTTCAACAAGAACCAATGGGTTCATTCTCGTGTTACGCAGCACGTTTGAGCTTCAACAAGAACCAATGAGGTTCATTCTCGTGTTACGCAGCACGTTTGAGCTTCAGCAAGAACCAATGGGGTTCATTCTCGTGTTACGCAGTACGTTTGAGTTCAACAAGAACCAATGGGGTTCATTCTCGTGTTACGCAGCACGTTTGAGCTTCAACAAGAACCAATGAGGTTCATTCTCGTGTTACGCAGCACGTTTGAGCTTCAGCAAGAACCAATGAGGTTCATTCTCGTGTTACGCAGCACGTTTGAGCTTCAACAAGAACCAATGGGTTCATTCTCGTGTTACACAGCACGTTTGAGCTTCAGCAAGAACCAATGAGGTTCATTCTCGTGTTACGCTGTATGTTTGTGCTTCAGCAAGAACCAATGAGGTTCATTCTCGTGTTACGCTGTATGTTTGTGCTTCAGCAAGAACCAATGAGGTTCATTCTCGTGTTACGCAGCACGTTTGAGCTTCAGCAAGAACCAATGAGGTTCATTCTCGTGTTACGCAGCACGTTTGAGCTTCAGCAAGAACCAATGAGGTTCATTCTCGTGTTACGCAGCACGTTTGAGCTTCAACAAGAACCAATGAGGTTCATTCTCGTGTTACGCAGCACGTTTGAGCTTCAGCAAGAACCAATGAGGTTCATTCTCGTGTTACGCAGCACGTTTGAGCTTCAACAAGAACCAATGAGGTTCATTCTCGTGTTACGCAGCACGTTTGAGCTTCAGCAAGAACCAATGAGGTTCATTCTCGTGTTACGCAGCACGTTTGAGCTTCAACAAGAACCAATGAGGTTCATTCTCGTGTTACGCAGCACGTTTGAGCTTCAGAAAGAACCAATGAGGTTCATTCTCGTGTTACGCAGCACGTTTGAGCTTCAGCAAGAACCAATGAGGTTCATTCTCGTGTTACGCAGCACGTTTGAGCTTCAGCAAGAACCAATGAGGTTCATTCTCGTGTTACGCAGCACGTTTGAGCTTCAGCAAGAACCAATGGGGTTCATTCTCGTGTTACGCAGCACGTTTGAGCTTCAGCAAGAACCAATGAGGTTCATTCTCGTGTTACGCAGCACGTTTGTGCTTCAGCAAGAACCAATGAGGTTCATTCTCGTGTTACGCAGCACGTTTGAGCTTCAACAAGAACCAATGAGGTTCATTCTCGTGTTACCCAGCACGTTTGAGCTTCAGCAAGAACCAATGGGGTTCATTCTCGTGTTACGCAGCACGTTTGAGCTTCAGCAAGAACCAATGAGGTTCATTCTCGTGTTACGCAGCACGTTTGAGCTTCAGCAAGAACCAATGAGGTTCATTCTCGTGTTACGCAGCACGTTTGAGCTTCAACAAGAACCAATGGGGTTCATTCTCGTGTTACGCAGCACGTTTGAGCTTCAGCAAGAACCAATGGGTTCATTCTCGTGTTACGCAGCACGTTTGAGCTTCAGAAAGAACCAATGGGGTTCATTCTCGTGTTACGCAGCACGTTTTAATCTTCAGCAAGAACCAATGAGGTTCATTCTCGTGTTACGCAGCACGTTTGAGCTTCAACAAGAACCAATGAGGTTCAGTCTCGTGTTACGCAGCACGTTTGAGCTTCAGCAAGAACCAATGAGGTTCAGTCTCGTGTTACGCAGCACGTTTGAGCTTCAGCAAGAACCAATGGGGTTCATTCTCGTGTTACGCAGCACGTTTGAGCTTCAACAAGAACCAATGAGGTTTATTCTCGTGTTACGCAGCACGTTTGAGCTTCAACAAGAACCAATGAGGTTCTTTCTCATGTTACACAGCACGTTTGAGCTTCAGCAAGAACCAATGAGGTTTGTTCTTGTGCGTGAAGCAAATTTGGTTGAGCTTCTTCACTAATCAGTGTTTATAAGTGAACCGTGTCTTTTCAGAAAATTGGGACTAAACCACTCAATTCATATGGATTAGTTTTTTTATGAACTTTTTTTTAGCATCAAAGAGGTAGCTGCTTAGACTGTCAATGGAATGGACACAAAGTTCTCAGAGTTCATTAAAAAGAAATTGAACGAAAGTCTTTCTGGTTTCGAATGACATGAGGGCGAGTAAATGATGACAGCATTTTAATTTTGGGGTGAACTAACCCTTTAACGACAACTCTTTTAGAACATATTTTGTTAGTAGCATGTGAACTCTTGCTGGCTTGCATTCAGCCTCATGAATTTTTGGCACATTCTCAAATCATGCTGACTATCATGATCATCAGATTTTCAAGTTTTGATGTCATGTAATTGCTCTCTAAGCTATAGGAACACAATGGGTCATATATGAGCTCGTTTACAGGAGGATGGCTTTCCTAAAATGCTGATTACAATTAATAAACAAAAGAGAATAAAGCTTTTTTACAAGATTACTCGACTTAGTCACATGACCTCATTGCCCACACATAATCTGTTTATGCAGCGCATGACCCGTCCTCCCCCTCTCTTCTGCCCTCCCATCCCGTCTGCTGCCTTTCAGCTGATGATGCATGTGGCAGAATAGGCTTTGGGAGCATCGCTATAGCAACCGAAAACAGAAAGGCACTTCAGAGCAATCTCAAAGAGGAAATGTGACCTGAGCCATTGCACAACTACAAGCCCTACAAGACAACCAGATCACTTATCAAGGTAAGGAGAACGAACAAATTAGGAATTAATAAAGAGGAAATAGCAAAAGAGAATGGCGGAGGAGTGGGTGGGTGAACAAAGAGAAAGAAAAACACAAGAGTGATGAATTCAACACGTTTTGAGATGACAAACTTTGCATTTTGAGAATCACCAGCAGTGATTTACAGTGATGTTACTGGTTACAGGTGGACATTGATGATAGTACTTTTAGTTAAGAAGCTTAAACTGGTTTTCGTTTCAGCATTTAAGCCGCAATCGTCTCTTTTTATGGGTCACATAATGATCACATAACTGTAATAATCACATAATGATAATAATTTAATGATGTCAAGATAAGATACATAAAAAAGATTATTGGAGTATAATTCGCAAGAAAATACTATTTCAGTCTTTCTACTTCAAAATGTTACTTTGTGGATTTCTTTGTGGAAAATGAATTGCCCATTTCTGAGTGAAAATAGTTTGAAAATAAATCCTTTGTAGTGATATAGCTAAATGCAATGAATAAAATGCAACTAATAGTAACCATAGTGAGTAAGAATAGAAAGAAATAGGTTTTAATGGAAGGGAAAATATTTTTTTATATCTTTTGTTGTTGATGTCTCATTCTGTGTGTCAGTATTTTGGCTCAAAATCAATCGGTAGAAGCTAGCCAAATTACCTAGAGCAACCTGGCCATGGTTACGTGACATGCCCTCATTCTAAGAGCAAGTTTTCTTGATCAAATTTACCATTTTGCATATAATTTGATATCAGTAAATATCAATGTTTGAATTTAACTTTTGTACAATAAATAGATATCTTCCATGTTTGGTCACCACCTAATAATCTAGGTCAGCATCCTTTAAATTCACATCAAAAGAGAGTCCTTCTCATTTTGTTCTTCTACATTTTTCCATGCTCAACCATTTTAGGACTAATTTCAAGGTGAAATGAAAAAGGAAAGGTGTTAGGTCTACAAAAACACAAATCCCAGAGTCCCATCATCAATTTTACACACTTTTGTTGTGAAAATCCTTTACCGGATTTGATGTTCCTGGACTTTTAAATTGGTTGTAAATCTCTAATTTTTGCCAAACTCTGGATTCAATCTTTTTGTCAACTTATTTTGTTTCAATTAGCACAGATTTTGTATTTAGTTTTAGAACTGATTGATAACGGCCTCATTGATCTAATTTTTGCTTTGTTTTGTTTTGTTTTTGAGGTGAATAAGCTTGAGTGAACTTTTTTTCACTCAAACACTCTGATCAACCAGTTCAAATCCTTTCCTAACTCAGATAAAAAGAGTTGACAAAAGATTGAATCCAATATGTGGAATAACAAAGCATAATGTTTTGGTCAGACTTTACCTTACACAGAAGGTATGTTTTTTTATGTTTGCACAGAAACGATCTGAAGAGAAAACGCAAAAGTGGCGTTGCTTTATCACTTATTCTGTGTTTAGACAAGCGTTTTGGGTGGGAAATCTGCGTGCTTATGGTGACGCAAAAGTGTGTGAAATTCGATGTAGTATTCACTCCAGGCGGCTAGGTGGCGATGTGAAGCACTGCCACACAACAACACCAAATCCGTGCGCCTGCGTACAACCTTCACTGTCTAGCAGACTTTTGCGTTTTTACCCTTTACACGGAAACGCGGCGATGGAGCGTTTTTAAGATTTCCACTCTGGAGGGTGGTTTCAATTTTTGCGTTTTTAAGCCCCAAAAACGAAAGGCACATCCGATAAAATATTTTTACGTTTTCACCCACGAGTTCTCGTGTAAACAGGGCCTAAGATTAGGGTCCAATTCTCACTGTTTACCAACTATTAGCCACCACTTTTGCCTCAATAACCTCCCAATTATTACTAATAGATAAGTTATAGTTAAGTGTTAGGTTTATGGACTAGTTTTGGCTACTAGAGGCCTTCATTGTGTTTCATTTCAGTTTCCCGCCATTTTATCAAGCGCCCAGCAAACAAATTTAGGTTCTGGGAACGTTAGTTTTTGGTTCCCAGAACGTTCATAGAACTTTCCCTTAAAGGTTAAGGGAATGTTCTCGGAACATTCTCCTTACGTTATAAAAACTGAACCTAAAAATAACCTACACGGAACGTTCCTATAACGTTCTTGTTTGGTTCCCCCAAAAATAACCTCATGGGACCATTCGGGAATGTTAGGGGAACGTTCTGTGTTTGCTATTGTTCTCACCTGTGCCTCATTTCCTGTGAGTGTATTTAAGTTGCTCTGTTCCTCTGGTTTTTGTGCAGTGTTTGTAATGTTGAGACCAAAACCTCTTCAGTATTTTGGTAAAGTCCACCTGTGATTTTCTCTGGACTTATTTCATTATCTGACTGTTTCCATTTTGTTGTCCTTATTTTTTCCCATGGAAGTTTTTTAGTTTCCTGTTTGGGAAATCACATTTACCCTTTGTTTCTGGACCCTCTGTTGGATTTTTTTTTGTAATGATTCTTTGGGATATTTGGATATTCTGTTTTGGAATTACTTCCTGAATGAATTAAATGAGACATGACTGAGCTCTCGTTTCTGCAACTGGGTCCTCTACCTTCTCCTTCATTCAGCCCTCAAGGCTTTGTTCTAGCCTTGGTTCTGACAGTTGGTTTAGATATTGGGTAATAATATTGTCATACTGAATAAGACATTAATATCTACTTTAGATGTACCAATGAACAGCCAATATCCTAGCAATATGCATGCTAATAAGCTATAACTATAGTGAGAGTTGGACCCCAAACTAAAATATTACCGCAATTATTATTATTAATTAATAGGCCTGGCTATTTTTGAACTGGAACATCATAAGTGTAACACGGTACCAAAAATGTGAGCAAAGTCAGTAAGTTTTAGTTCGATGCGATAACATTAACCAGTATTTTCATGGTAAAAGGAAAATTGTCTCCAAGTCAAAATGACCGGAACACAACCTGAGGGTTGAATTACTGTACCCCTACAGGTAAAAGTGAGCAGCAGAGGGCTGGTGACCGAGCATGTCGTGGTTCAGCTGGAACGAGCCATACAATCGTAGCCCGCGGCGTGAGCCGTCTGAAGTAGTTGTGGACACCCTGATGCTGGAACTGAGCTGGCAGATGCAGGAGGCCGAGAGGCTGCAGCGGGAGCGAGACAACGAATACCGCAGGCTGAAGAGCGGCGTGGACTACAGCTGGCTCATGAGTGCCCCACGTACCTCTTTCGACATCAGCCAAGGAGAGAGACTGGGCCTGGAGGACCTGTGCAGCAAAGTACCACCAGCATACTGCGGACCTACAATACAAAGGTGAGACAGATGGGTTAAAAGCTCCATATTACGCCTTTTGTTTTCAAAATGAGTATGTTCGTCACCGCAGGTTCAGGGGAGGTTGATCTGGGTAATTAGTTTACTAAGCCGTCTTCGTGATGTCTCTAGTAAGTGCACAAAGGCTGCCATGCTTTTTTACTGTAGGTGAGCTAAGCTCTAACCTGCTGAAGTGATAATTGCAAACCTCACGGGATACACACCTGACAGATTCAGATAAGCCCCAACTGACGATGTTCCTTTTTGTTCGGGTGACGACAGCATGGCAACCATTTTTTAGCCCCCCTTGACTGATAAACAATTGATTAAAGGGATAGTTCACCCAAAATTGAAAATTCTGTCATAATTTCCTTTTTCGCTCCAAACCTTTATGACTTTCTTTCTTATGTGGAACATAAAATATTTTTTTTGTCTGTACAACAGTGGTTCAGTTACCAACTTTGGAGGAAGAAAAGTCATACAGGTCTGGAACTACAAACCCTTCAAGCTCCATAAGTAAAAACATATGCTTTATTTTATTCTTCTGTAATTGTTACTCCAATATCAGGAGTGTTTTATATTGTTGCGACAGGTAGGTTAGATAAACTGTATATCACTAAAGTCTCAACTATGTAATAATGATTGGACAGAAAACATTGTGAATGTTTTACTGCTGTACATAGTTATTGAGCCAAACTGAATTAACACACTGAACTGATTTCACTTGAATAATGACTATTTATTATTGTCTTTTCAGAGCTGCTTTACAGCAGAATTGAATCATTTATTGCATCATTGATTCATTATATCATTATATTCATTATATCATTATTACAGTTTCGTATAAAACATTATATAAATAAAAGTGACTTGACTGTCTCTTCCTCAGAAAGTTATTGTATGACTTTAGAAGGTTTTGATTACTTTCATGGTGATTTTTTTGTGTGTAGTTTTTGGAGTTTGACAGCATATGATCACTAAACTGAATATGTAGTGTAGGAATAACTGCATAGAGGTTTGGAACCAGGTTGAGTAAATATCGACAATTTTCAGTTTCAAGCAAACTATCTTTGAAATTCTTTAAGTTATTCCTACAACTTTGTCAGGGAATACTTTTTTTAATAAGTGTTGAAGGATGATCTAGTCCTTCCCACGAGGACCTGTGAAAAGTGAGTTTTTAGAGGACTGTAATGATTAATGAAAGAATGAGAAGGAATATGAAGAAAACACTGATTCATTGATTTAGTTGGAGAACCTTGCTTGGAAACCTGTTTTAAGATTTCATAAGAACATCTTAGTTCACTCTGACTCATGGGCTTATGTTTGCTCCCATAGGGACCAGGTGACGATTAACATGGGGAAGATAAGGCTGATGTTTTGTGCTGTGTAATATGACCAGTGGTGATGGTTTCTCTTAATTCTGGCTTTACATCTGATAATGTGCCTATATACACTCACCTAAAGGATTATTAGGAACACCATACTATGTGTTTGAACCCCTTTCGTCTTCAGAACTGCCTTAATTCTACGGTTGTATTGATTCAACAAGTTGCTGAAAGCATTCTTTATAAATGTTGGCCTATATTGATAGGATAGCATCTTGCAGTTGATGGAGATTTGTGGGATGCACATCCAGGGCACGAATCTCCCGTTCCTCCACATCCCAAAGATGCTCTATTGGGCTGAGATCTGGTGTCTGTGGGGGCCATTTTAGTACAGTGAACACATTGTCATGTTCAAGAAACCAATTTGAAATGATTCAAGCTTTATGACATGGTGCATTATCCTGCTGGAAGTAGCCATCAGAGGATGGACATAGTGGCCATTAAGGGATGGACATGGTCAGAAACAATGCTCAGGGAGGCCGTGGCATTTAAACGATGCCCAATTGGCACTAAGGGGCCTAAAGTGTGCCAAGAAAACATCCCCCACAGCATTACACCACCACCACCAGCCTGCACAGTGGTAACAAGGCATGATGGATCCATGTTCTCATTCTGTTTACGCCAAATTCTGACTCTACCGTTTGAATGTCTCAACAGAAATCGAGACTCATCAGGCCAGACTACATTTTTCCAGTCTTCAACTGTCCAATTTTGGTGAGCTCTTGCAAATTGTAGCCTCTTTTTCCTATTTGTAGTGGAGATGAGTGGTACCCGGTGGGGACTTCTGCTGTTGTAGCCCATCCGCCTCAAGGTTGTGTGTGTTGTAGCTTCACAAATGCTTTGCTGCATACCTCGGTTGTAACGAGTGGTTATTTCAGCCAAAGTTGCTCTTCTATCAGCTTGAATCAGTCGGCCCATTCCCCTCTGACCTCTAGCATCAACAAGGCATTTTCACCCACAGGACTGCCGCATACTGCATGTTTTTCCCTTTTCACACCATTCTTTGTAAACCCTAGAAATGGTTGTGTGTGAAAATCCCAGTAACTGAGCAGATTGTGAAATACTCAGACCGGCCCGTCTGGCACCAACAACCATGCCACGCTCAAAATTGCTTAAATCACCTTTCTTTCCCATTCTGACATTCAGTTTGGAGTTCAGGAGATTGTCTTGACCAGGACCACACCCCTAAATGCACTGAAGCAACTGCCATGTGATTGGTTGATTAGATAATTGCATTAATGAGAAATTGAACAGGTGTTCCTAATAATCCTTTAGGTGAGTGTATATTGCAATTGTGACTATTTTCAAACTGTGTCTTTAAATCTCACAATTGTTGCATTGATTTCGACTTCATATCTCGCAATTGCAAAATTATAGCTCCCAATTGCAACTTTATATCTCACATTGTAACTTTATAAGCAGTTGCTATTTGTTTTTCATAATGACTTTACATGTCGTGTGACTATCTCACAATTACCTATTTATTTTTTACACTGAGGCTGAAACAGGATCTCATAGGATCCTTGTGGAGACACAAGTCGTGTTGTTTCGCACGTTTCTTTGAAATCTTGGCGTATTACACTCACGCCGAGAAAGCAGCGCATAAGCAACAACATTTACTTCAGCACAGGTTACAAAGCACAGATTTTAGAAAGAGATGTTTAACAGCTATAAAATCTTATAAAGTCTTTCTCTTCACAGGTTTCGGCAGGTGCTGATGGAGAACGAACCTGAGGTGCAAGAGGTTTCCGGACTCTTCCGTTCTGTGCTTGTGGAAACACTTGAGCGCGTTCATGAGGAGCAGGAGGCTCAGCGTCTGACCCACCAGTGGAACAACAGACGCTCCATAAGCCTGTCGCTGATGAACTTCAAGTCTCGCGTGCGGATCAACCCTTTCGGCAGCACCTTGGGACTGAAATCGAGCAATTGCGGCTCAGACGAAGACGGCATGGACGTCAAGACTGTGTGTGAGGATGTTGAGAAGGGTCTTAGCCTGACAGCGGAGAAAGCGCAGCGCGTGTGGAGCATGCCAGAGATTCGGCACAAGGGAATCAATGGGAAAGCTTGAGTGTCTGTGAGTGGGATTCAGTGGGATCCAGTCCAAGTCAATGACTGGCTGATATTCCCAGCATCCCCTTCACTTTCAGTTTGTCTATATTCCGAGGTCTAAGCATGGAGCCAAGAGGCATGTTTATGTTGGGAAATAAAACTGAAGTCTTATAAGCAATTCATAACAAATCAATAAATCTTACAAGGATTACAGATCATAAACCCAGTTTATTTTTGAATTTGTGCAGTAAATTCCTAAAATAGAATAAGATATATTTATCTGTTCACTCACCATTAGATTAAATTTGTTATTGTGAAATGATACAAATTTTCCCTTGAAAAAAGTTGTTATATGACCTTTATGGTAAAAAAAAAAAAAATATATATATATATATATATATATTTGTTTGTTTTTGTATGTTTGGTTGTTCATTTATTTATTTTATTTATTTTTTTCAATGCAGGTCTAGTTTTTAGCTTTTTAGTAGCCTCGTCCCCTTATTCAAACCAAGTGGGCCTGTATTTGGTGTGGAAATTATTCTTTTTTTTCTTGTTGTTTTACAATGTATGTCCAATTATGTAATGAGGTGTTTGCATGACATTTAAATTTGAGTCACAGTACAATCAGTGTAACTGTAGAATTTAGGATCTTGCACTATAAGAACAATATACGTTTTCCATTTTATTGTGCTGAAAAAAAATAAAGAGCTTATGATTCTGCGTTACAGTGACGATAACCTACATTTTTAACAAATGCCTCTATAGTATCTAATACTTTTTTTGATTATTGTAAAAGACAATTATACCTTTCACGTTCTTTCTAAAGAGTATCTTTCCATGCTCAAAGAATGATGTTGCACATTAGGTAATGACTAGTTAGTAGGCCATGCTGATGAACTTCTTAAAGTTCCAAAATTTCATGTTTATAACACTTAAAGGATCATTAGGAACACCTGTTCAATTTGTCATTAATGCAATTATCTAATCAACCAATCACATGGCAGTTACTTCAATGCATTTAGGGGTGTGGTCCTGGTCAAGACAATCTCCTGAACTCCAAACTGAATGTCAGAATGGGAAAGAAAGGTGATTTAAGCAATTTTGAGCGTGACATGGTTGTTGGTGCCAGACGGGCCGGTCTGAGTATTTCACAATCTGCTCACTTACTGGGATTTTCACACACAACCATTTCTAGGGTTTACAAAGAATGGTGTGAAAAGGGAAAAATATCCAGTATGCGGCAGTCCTGTGGGTGAAAATGCCTTGTTGATGCTAGAGGTCAGAGGGGAATGGGCCGACTGATTCAAGCTGATAGAAGAGCAACTTTGACTGAAATAACCACTCGTTACAACCGAGGTATGCAGCAAAGCATTTGTGAAGCTACAACACACACAACCTTGAGGCGGATGGGCTACAACAGCAGAAGTCCCCACCGGGTACCACTCATCTCCACTACAAATAGGAAAAAGAGGCTACAATTTGCAAGAGCTCACCAAAATTGGACAGTTGAAGACTGGAAAAATGTTGCCTGGTCTGATGAGTCTCGATTTCTGTTGAGACATTCAGATGGTAGAGTCAGAATTTGGCGTAAACAGAATGAGAACATGGATCCATCATGCCTTGTTACCACTGTGCAGGCTGGTGGTGGTGGTGTAATGCTGTGGGGGATGTTTTCTTGGCACACTTTAGGCCCCTTAGTGCCAATTGGGCATCGTTTAAATGCCACGGCCTACCTGAGCAGTGTTTCTGACCATGTCTGTCCCTTTATGGCCACCATGTACCCATCCTCTGATGGCTACTTCCAGCAGGATAATGCACCATGTCACAAAGCTCGAATCATTTCAAATTGGTTTCTTGAACATGATAACGAGTTCACTGTATAATAAACCATCAAAATAACAGTGTAACTGCAGTACTCCAAACTTTCTCAAATATCTTTAGGAATGTATGGCTGTGAATGAATCCTGACAATAGTGAGAAAATGCTATGCATTATAAACTATATACATATATTAGGATGATGAATATAAAAATATAGGTAAAGTCTGGAGAAATAATGAGCTTGTCTGTCGACAAAGAAATATTTGTAAGCGTGCTGGGATGCTGATTAATGTGTATTAATTCATGCAGCTATAAAGCCTGTGGAAAATAAATGTATCTTCAAACACTTCCCCAGCTATATAAAGTAATACTTTATTTTACAGTATCCTTGTATCCTTACCATAGAAATAAAAGTAATGTATGCATATTTACATGCAACTAACCCTCAACCAAATCCTAATCCTAATCTAACCCTATAAGTACATGTAGTTGCTTAAAGGGATAGTTTATGATTTAGCATTAAGCTTTGTGTTAATAGGACACCTGTAGTATTTTCTAAAAAAAAAAAACTCCGATGACGCAAAAATCGTCATTTTGCGTAATCAGAAGATTTTTTTGTTCAGAGGCTAAAGACTACAGCCAGTAGTGGGTCTGTCCCGCATCTTCTCAACCCGCCCATAGAGGGTGGGATCTCACTAACAGAATGAACACATAGTGTCAGCCATCTTTTTTTTGGAAGCTAAGCTAGCAGGCTCTTGTTCTGTGGAGAAAGCTGAGTAGTAGGGGTTACCATCCTGATGTCCGAGTTTCAGCTTTTGCTTTCTGCAGTCGCCATTCATTGTTTACATGCACAGCTTTTGTTTCAATCTAACTGAATTCATTCTGATTGGTGAATTTGAATGTAGCGTTTATTTGAACGCTAAACAAGTGATTGGTTGATGTGTGTTTTAACATTGCTAAGAAAATTCCCACTCCTCTGTGAGAGATACGAGACCGGTGCGTCTCACAGGTGTCACTCATCGGTAGTCACGCCACCGGCAACGTGCCGTTCTCCCACGGCCCTCAGTCATCCCGCTCGCCACAGTAAACATAATGAATGGCGACTGTAGAACGCAAAAGCTGAATTCCGGAAATTTTGGGTGATTTAGAAATCCCAAATCACTCATCTCGGAGAATCACTATTAGCCTAGACTTGTTGTTTGACTACTGCGCTCTGTTACCGGTAGGCGTGGCCTTCCAAGGAATGGCGAACCAAGTGCATTCTGGGAGTTGTCTTTCATCCACATAAGCCAAAAAAACATTTTCTGGCATTTCTCAGTTTAGAAAGCTCCAAATTCAAAAATAATTTCACATTTCTTCTACATAAATGACCCATTTTAAATACACATTCATCTTTCCAGAGGTAAAGTATCCCTTTAATATTACTCAGTACTTAAATGCATTGCTGATGATGATGTATGTGGAATCACCAAAACCTTTTTGAGACTATAAAATAAAGGACACAATTTATTTAACAATAACCTAATTGTCATGAGAACGATCAAATGCACATGATTCACAACGGCAGATCAGAAGCTGTTCTCCACAACCTGTTGGTGGCGCCTTTGCCACCGCAGTAAATGCAGATTATCAGGGGAAAACAAGGGAAACACCATAGGAACAACACCACTGATATTTCAAACTAAAATTGTTAAAAAAAAAAGTAAAATACAAACTTAATTTTTTGAGGTGAATCAGGTCAAACTGTTCATATATCAATCACATAACATCTTGCATCTCAGAACATTTCCTTACTGATTAAATAATTATTTACTTGAGCTTTGCATTTAAAAATGAGAATACAAGAATACTTATTTTTTTATACAATTTCAGTAACATGTAACAATGTCACACTCAAGCTACAGTTCTCATAGGGTACAGTTTATCAGACACATAACATAAGTACTGCAGGACACAGCCTGGAATTAAAAAAAAAAGGAGAACAATTATCTACATGAAGAATTTATAGAAAGGAATTGTCAATGTATAACATCAGGCAACAACATTAATAGTTGAAGATGGTCTTTCCCTGAGTGGTGGTCAGGTGAAAAAAAAGAAGAAAAAAAAAAAGAAAAAAAACTGGCTCTGTAGCTCCAGGCCTGGACTGAATCAGAAGGTGGAGTTTAAGAACTCCAGCAGTTCAGCTCTGTTTTTGTCCCTCTGTTTTAAAGAAAAGAAACAGCTGGATGATAGATCTGTGCACCACCGTTAACTTGGCTATAGTCCATCTGGTTTATATTTTAATCAGAAATGAGAACAAAAGCAGAAAATAATGTGTATTTCACTCATTATTAATTAAGAGGCTATATTATGCCATTTTACAAGGTCTTGATTTGCTTTTTTAGGGTCTACAAGAATACAGTCAAATCAAAAATGATTCAGACACCAATATATATTTTTTTAGGGCTGTCAAATGATTAATCGCAATTAATCGCATCCAAAATAAAAGTTTGTGTTTACATAATTTATGTGGGTGCACTGTGTATAATAATTTTGTGTATATATATATATATATATATATAAAAATACACTCAGATGTATGTATATTTAATAAAAAAAATATTATTTATATATAAAATATTTCTATTTATATATAATATAAATTATATATAAATCTATATACAGTATATAAATATTTCTTAAATATATACAAGCATGTGTGCGTATTTATATATATATATATATTAGGGCTGGGCGATAAAACGATAACGATAATTATCGCGATATAATTTTCCTCGATAAAACGATATCAAGAGGTCGATAAATGTTCGATAATATTTATGCGTCAAAAAAGCGGAACGAAACTCATTTAAACCGCGCGCGCCACACGGAGCATTTATCCGCTCGGCTCAAAGTCCAAACGGCAGTGCATTGAGCGGAGCGCGAGCTCACTCAGACGCGCCTCTGATCGTTTTGCTCACGAGATCCAGTGAGAAGCACTTGAGTTCAGCGAAGAACACAAATGTCAAGTTTAAATCAGTTTAAAGGCAGATGAAACACCGCTGACAAAAAGGAGAAACACTGCGTGCAATGATACAGTCAGAATCTGAATTGATACTGAATCCATTTAGCTTCCCATGGATTTACTGTAAGGTTAGTAATATTAACTGCACCATGAAATGTGGGATATACATATTGAATTGTATAATATTATTAATGTTGACAATGTATTATGACTAATGGAATATAAGTACAGTATTTAATAATGTATTTAGCTGTTAGGCTATTGTTTTTCATTAAAAAAAATACAGAAAACAAAGTTATGCCATGTTAGTGAGGAGCTAAGTTATAGGCTATACCTAGTCTCGCGTAGCCAGACCTTCAGACTGACGGCTGAAGGTCTGGAATTCATAGCAGCTTTCTTTGGTCAAGGCCCGCCCATAAGGCCGTTAGACCGACATGTCAAACAACCAATTACAGTTCGTTTCGTTCAGCGTCATGTTTCGGGGCGTGGAAATGTCCCCACAACAACAGACCGGTGTGCAACAAGTCAGTCAGCAGTCACCGGAGGCGCTAACAACGCTCCGTGTTATTAAATTCACCCACGAACTCGCTCATGTCCATCTTATAGGCCAATTTATACTTCTGCGTCGAGGGTACGCCGTAATGTGCGGCGTCGGCTACGCACGTAGGCGACGCCGTTATGAGCATTTATACTTCTGCGTTCAGGTCTTGTTGCTCTGCAGTACTGCTCCGAAACGCTAGTTGGCGGCGGAGAGTTTTAATGTTCCACTGTGTTTAGATTCCTCGCGGCTAGGGTACTACAAGCAATAACGATTGAAAAAGAGTGGATCATGTTGGAGTTGGAGCTTATTGAGGTGGAAAAACAGTTCACTTTAGTGAAATTACTAAAACTGAAAGGCAGAAA